AATCCCACAATGCACTGCAAAAACGAGTGTACAACTGGTGCACGCTCAACGGCTAGAGAATGCCCATAATGCACCGTGAGAGTCACATGCCGAATGAATTCCCGCATCTCGCCAGAAGATTAATTCTTACTGTTAATTTAAGTTAATTTTTAAGTTAGATTAAGTTAATTTTTACAAAGCACTCATCCATGGCGTACAGTATAATGTACAACACGGGTATAAATTCATTGTAAATTGATTATTAGATAGTTTGATTAGGGTTTATACATAATTTCCGTGACAGAGGTCAAGATAAATCCTTTAATCTTACTACTGGAGCTGCTAGTTTGCTAGTTTCAAATGATTAATAAACAGCAAGCACAAACTATGCAGTAGCGGCATTCCTTCCGGTGCACTCAGTGTCCGAATTCACTACTCGTTTTCATTCACTCCTTCTAGTGAACTGAATTAGTGACCTAATGTAGGGAATAGTGAATGAGGGTATAGGGGGCGATTTCGGACACAGCCCAGGTGTTCCTTGATACCTTGTTTGACCCTGGGTGCGTCTCAATCAGCTCCCTAGCTCCCGAGCTCGTGAATCAGTTTATTGTGTACACAAATTCGGTCACTGGTACGTTCCCTAGCTCACTGCACATTGGGACAGTGATTACTCAATTTCCGGTGACATGACTATGTACGTCAACGGACAACACTGTAGAACGTCACCGCTGCTATTAATCAACATCAGGCAGGACCAAACTCTTTTTGATATTATTTTTATTCTCTTTAAACACATTCTTCTTTTACATATTCTTACAACATTTCAGCCGAATATTAATTATAAACGGTAACAATATGTGATCATTACCTGTCTAGCGATGTGTTTATGTTGAAATATACAACAACAAAAAAAAACGGTTTGTCTCTTGAAATCTTCTATCGCATGTCATTATATTTATCGAGCTTCGTGCTTCAGAAATGTGACGTAATTTCTGGTAAGGGAGCATAGTGAGCACCGATGCTCCCTAGTATTTACGGTGCATTGTGGGATTTTCAGGGAGCAAACGTTCCAGTCCACTGGAAGGATTTCGTGATTGAGTTCTCCAGGTGTTCCTTGTTACCTTGTTTGCCCTTGTGTCTACAGTATAAGCTCTAGTGTTTCCTGTCTTCCTTGTCAGGTCTTGTCCATTCATGGTCATCTCGTGTGTGTGTGCTCAGTTCTGTTTCCCCATATTTTGTTTCCTGGGTTTTTGATTTTGTATTTTGCTTATTATTATAATAAATCTTAATCTGCACTTGGATCCAGCTCTTCTTGGTTTCTGAGTTCATCGTGTGACACTGAGACCATTCCTTGCTAGGTTTGTTTACACCAAATCCATCTCTGGTTTTGTTTCAAAAAGCTCTATTTTTGTCTCATTTGACTATAGGGTCCAGTCCAGTTGAAAGTTCCAGCAATGTCTGGCAAACCATATAAATAAAACAAGAAAATACAAACACGGGGAGAAAACAAGGGTGTCGCCAAAACAAAGAAATAATCAAAACCAAACATTTTCCATAACTATTCCGTAACCAAACATTTAAGCTAACTAAAAAAGGAAAATGTGGAAACAAAACAGAAAACTTCAGCATACATGACGCCTTAATTACACTGACTAAAACCATACAATGGGTGTTTACACTACTTGAGTAGTGAGCCAGATCAGTGTCAGATTTCACTCAGTTCTGTGCCTTCAGTCAAGCCTTGAAAGTCTAGTCAGCGATGATTGATTGTTAATATGTTTGTCATGTGGTTCAGAGCCTTGACACATCTTTGGGTTTGTTCTTTGTTTATTGATATATACTGCACTGTTCATTACGTTTGAGAGACTAAACTGTTTCAGCGCTAAGACTTGGATCTTGTGTCAAGGGCAAGTTTGTGTAGACGGTCTAAGCGCTACACTTGTGTAACACTTGTTTCCACTCAGGGCCGTTTCTAGGCATAGGCAAGCTAGGCGGTCGCCTAGGGCGCCACCAGCTGAAGGGGCGCCAATGAGCGCACGTACTGGCACTTTTAGCAGGGTTGTGATAAAGAGTGGCACGGTCACCCTGAAATGTGACTGCCGCCCCCACTGGATCCCCCAACATTATTGGGCTAGAGTACTGTCAATCTGACGATGCCTGTATGCCACTAGATCAGAGTGCTGTCAACTGCTGCCTGATTGTTGCATGCAAAGTTTGCATTTGGAGCGCTCAACAACGCTGTTAGATCAGTGGGGGCTGTCAGTGCTTTGGCAAGGTAACACTTTTTTTTTTTGCCATGCAATAAAGCTAAGTTCAAAGGCCAATTTAAAATATTGGTACAGTAAATAGTGCACAAAATCAGTATTTTGTTTAGGCAGTATTTGTGGCACAGATTTTCCAAAAGGTGCGCGTTTTTTGCGCCAATGCATTGTTAAAGGGTCAGCGTGTCATGTAATATTCCCATATAAACTTTAACATCCAATTAAAAAATATTTG